AGAGTCGCATGCCCTACCGACTGAGGCAGAGAGATGCCCCTAACATACATTTTAAAAGTAGGAGTCCAGTTCACTGTCCTCATTACGTGGCGGGGGGGGGCGGGGTTGAGGGTCGGGGAGGTGATGAGATCACTGCTCCAAGGTCATGGGACCTATAAGTGGCTCAGTACAGAAGTGGTTCAGGCCAGGCCCATGCGGTCGGGGAGTGAACAGTTGTCAACGGTGGGCCTGAATAGAAGCTTTCTAGGTCCTATCAGACTTAAAATGTTCTTCCTTTTTCCTGGTGCCATTTCTCCAGCCACCACATCTGGGTCCAGGACATCTTCTCTCAGTATGTTACGTCTGGATTGTACAAGAGAAGTGAGACATTGTTTCCAGAAAGCCAGTAGCAAAAAGTGACATATTACCTATTGAGCTTCTCCTACACAAATTTCCTTCGAGCTTTGCTAAGGACTGGTAGGGACTTGGAGCTTTGGGGTCAGCTGGTGTCTGGTCCACCTTTTCCCCTAGGATGACCATCTTGAGCTAATCCTTTCTACTCCCCACATTGCAGTTTCCAGCCAGAAGTTTCTCAGGACCCCCACCTCCATCTTCACACCCACCAATCTAAATGACATTCAGACCGATTCATCTAAAATGCTGGTCTGCTGGGGCACCTGGGTGGCTCAGTCGCTTAAGCATCTGACTTGATTCCAGCTCACGTACTGATCTCAAGGTCCTAGGACTGAGCCCTGTGGGGGACTCTGCACTCAGTGTGGAGCCTGCTTGGGATTCTCCTTCTCCGTCTCCCTCCGTCCCTTTCCTGTGTGCGTGCATGTGGCTCTCTCTGTCTCAAATACATCTTAAAAAAAACCAATTTTTTGTTTTAAATGCAGGGCTGCTGCTTATTGGCTTAGAGAGTTTAAACAAATTTTGTAACCTCTCTGAATTTCCTGTTTCTTACTTTAAAATGGCAATAATAAGACTTACAAAGTTATTGAGAACTAACTAGTAAAGGATCAAATAAAAAAGTGCTTCTCACAAGCCAGGCTTTTGTTAGGCGGTGGCAGTCAGTGACCGTGTCGCTGCTGAGGTGTTGTTTCAGGAACCTCACCCATGCTGGTGGCGGGAAGGGGGGAGTCAGGGCCCTGGGTCTCATTTGTCTAGAAGCTGTAGGGTTGTGGCCTGGAGAAGATTAACCTGAGAGGATCTTCGTGGGGGCAGCTGGGCCTCAAATCTGGCGGTAGGTGCCGTTAATGGCCAGTTTGCAGTTAGCGGTAAGTAACGCTTTATAGGCCAGGCAGACATCCCCCCTCTCCACGAGAAATCTGTGCACGAGGCAGTGGAAGAGAATCGAGGTGAGGGAACAGCTGAGTTAGGGACGGAGGCAGAGCCTTGAGCACGTACCTCAGTGGAGACATGACTTCATTGCCCGTGCCAGAAGCTCCTGGCACGCTGAAAACATCCCTTAAAGTCCAGGTATCATTTCCTGGGTCTTCTCCCCTCTTTGTTCGCTTGCCTTGTTCCCTGGTCATCCTTGAGCCTCCTCCGAGCACCTGGCTCCAGCCATGCTTCCTGCCTGTCTGCAGACGACCTGGCCCCACCGGAAGGCTGAGAGATGGGCCGCAGGTAAAGGCTCTGCTACCCCGGAAAGCTCTAAATGAGAGAGCGCTCTGTGAAGAGCTGCCTAAAGCATGCGGGGTTTGCGGAAGGGAAAAGGGAGTCTATCGTTTGTATTTTGCAGAGATCCATAGGCCCTCAGCTCTGTTAGCACGAGAGCTGCCCTTCGCTAGCTTCAGGCCTGGAAAGAGTCCGCCCTGGGTCAGGACTGGAAATTGTCCTGATGTAAACTGCCCACGTAGCTAGATTTCGCCCCCTAAAACAAACACTTCACAGTCTCAGTGTGGAGAATTCTTGAATTGAAACGAGTCATCCCAAAGGGAAAAGTAGAGAGCTCTTGCCGTTTTCCTGTATTTGCGATTCCTAAATTGTGTCTGATTCATCTTCAGTTTTTCCTTCACCCACGCACCAAGCCTTTATTGGGTGCCACTGTTCGCCAGACATGGCGTTAGGCCCTGGGGACAAAGCTACAGGAGACGCCCTTCTGTGCGCACAGCCTCACTGGAAGCCCCCTGAAGAGCAGGGAGTCGCAGCAGTGTGGGAAGCTCTCGGTGTGAGGCCTGCAGGGAGTCGCAGCAGTGTGGGAAGCTCTCGGTGTGAGGCCTGCGCAGAAGCTGCCCCAGCCCAGAAGAGGCATCTCTGAACAGTGTGCGTGGCGTGGTGTATGGACGGAGTTGTGTCCTCCCAAATTTCCTCTGTGGAGACCCTAACTCCCTGTGTGGCTGTATATGGACATAGGGCTTTGGGGAGGTAACTCAGGTTAAATGAGGTCATAAGGGTGGGGTCCTAATTCAACAGGATGGGTGGCCATAGAAGAGGATGAGAGAGAGATCTGTCCACGTGCACACAGTGAGGAAAAACCATGTTCACAGATAGTGGGAGGGTGGCCATCTGCAGCCAGGAAGAGAGCCAGTTCTCCTGCTAGCTCCTCGCCAGAGCCTGCACTTGCTGCCATCTGATCTTGGACTTACAGCTTCAGGGACTGTGTGAGAAAATAGATTTCTCTTGTTTAAGCTATGGTATTTTGCTACGGCAGCCTGAGCGGACTAAGACAGCCTGTGTGTGTTGGGAGGGGTGACAGGGTCGGGGGAGCTTTCTAGAATTGTTGGCATCTCACCTGCTCCTGAGGAACTGTCTGGCTTTGTCACCAGGCCTTTGGAGATAAATGCGTGGGGCTGACTTCTTGTACAGCCTAAAATTTTTTGAACAGAAGCGTTTCTTCTGTTAAGTCTGGGATGACGTCAAGAGAGCCTGACAAAGTCGGCCTACATATGTACGATCATCTTTTCCTGCTCGGTCCCCTCAGGGCCCGGAGTGAATCCCACCGCGGCTGCAAAGCTTCTGGCGCTGTCCGTAATACAACAGACATCCCTACCTTGGGAATTACTTGAAGCCCGATGACGTTTTCATTAGCACGAGGATCTGGCCTTTAGCAAGTGCTTAGCGTAGGTCTTGTAGGAAATCTTCGGTTGACATGTCTTCACCAGACTGCATTCTCGTTTCCACATTTCCTCCTACCTGCCCTTTTGTTTACTGAGAACTTGCCTGACTGTTTGCTGGAAAAATGGAAATAACTTGATGGGCTTTAAAGGTATCTTTGGTTTTTTTCCTTTAAACTCTGCTGACCGACATTGAGATAAAAGGTGGAGGGCGGTGGGTAGAGGCAAAGCCGTGAGATAAGAAAGGACTTTATCCCAGCAGCGTCCCCCCAGCCAGCCTCCCACCAGCTCCTACCTGTAGGCACCTGAGGCCTGAGTGGAGCGGCGCCCACAGCTGCAGCCTGCGGGGGGCGGGAGGGTCCTGCTTTTATGGACGGGCTGTCGCACCCTCTGTGCCAACTGCAGGGAGCCGGCCAAAGCCTCTGTGAGCGGGGGTGGGTGATGAGCCTACATGGCCAAGGGAGGGGGCTCAGGGAGCGCACTGAGGATCCCTGCCGCTTGGAGGAGGTCCGCCCCCACACCGCACGGACGGGGGGGATTGAGAGAAGGAAATCACACCTAAGCGGGTTGACAGGATTCCTCTCCTTGGCCTGGTCTGCTAACACCCCTTCCAGAACACACGCCCCATGTGGGCTCAAGTGTGGCTTGCTCCCTGGCTTGCACAGAGAGATTTGGAAACATAGTCTGAATCGTTCCCATGAGCTTTGAAAAGAGGGTGACAGACGGGGGGAAAAGTGGGGTGCAGAGTTAGAACACATTGAAAACATCTCCGGAGATTTCTGAGGGAAGGCATACTTATCCATGTAAAGCCGGTGGAGAAGGAAAGTAGAAGGTTGTTCTCCCGCAGACAGATGAGGGGCTAACCATCTCCTCATCTGCAAACCTTCACAAGACTTCCCTGCAAGGCTAACAAAATCCTGGTTATTTTATCAAAGTGCGGCTTTATTATTTTCAAGTAAAGCTCATAATAAATGAATTTGAAATTATAGACTTATGATTACGTCTCTCTCTCTTTTATTTTATTTATTTATTTTTTTTGGTAACTACTCCTCAGCGTGTTCTGACTTCACGTAGACAGTGAAACTGAGGCAGCGGGAAGGGTTACAGAGCAAATTAGTGTATCCACTCTACCTTCATACCTTCTAGAAGTGTATGCAGCTTGTCCAGCTTACATGTTCTCCAGCTGTATGCATGTTTACTCGGCGGGAGACAATGTGGTGTATATGAAAAACACATGACTCCAGGGCATAGAAAACCCTGGATCTTCTGCACCTTATGGGCTGTGTGACTTTGGGGAAATTATTGAACCAGGTATTTTGAACATTAATTTTCACATGTGCAAAACAGAGATAGAAGTACGTCCCTCAAATGTTCATGAGGATAAACAACTCGGTGTTTTAAAACCCTGTACACTGCTTGGCATATAGTAGGCACTGAATAGTTTAGAGGAGGGGGAGGAAAGGAAAAAGTTCCCAGTTTTGATTATAACATCTTCTTAATAGTGAGGGGCCTATTTAATGAAATAGGTAGTAATTATTTCAAAGAAGTACTTTGAATCCCTGTAAGAGGCAGATTTCAGTTATCTTGGTCATAATCATTCAGATTGGTCCCTTCTTCCATTTCAGACACACATATATAAGAACATTGTATTTCTGGGGCGCCTGGGTGGCTCAGTCAGTTAAGCTTCTGTCTTCGGTTCAGGTCATGATCCCGGGGCCCTGGGATCGAGCCCCGAGTCAGCCTCCCTGCTCTGCGGGAAGCCTGCTTCTCCCTCCTCCTCTGCCTGCCACTCTGTCTGCTTGTGCTCTCTCTCTCTCTGTCAAATAAAAAAAAAAAAAAGAACATCGCGTTCCTACACTGTTAAACATAAATTAAACTTATGGCCTTGAATCTTTAAAACATAGGTGAGTAGTATATGAGAGATACATAGCGTTAGCCCCATGTCTTCTGTTTAATGTTTAGACGGTCTTGCCACCTCCCAGAAGCTGGAGCAACAGCGAGAGAAGTGGGAGAGGAACCACTGGCCCAGCAGAGGCCTGTCGCGGCGTTCCATCAGCAAAGAGCGATGGGTGGAGACGCTGGTGGTGGCTGACACGAAGATGATTGAGTATCATGGGAGCGACAGCGTGGAGTCCTATATCCTCACCATCATGAACATGGTAAGTCAGACTGTGGGGTGAGGAGAGGCAGCTGGGGAACAGGCGTCACCCTCCAAAAATAAGAGAGACCTTTTTTGTTCTTTTCACATGTATATATGAATCTACTCCCTGCCTAAGTGAGGAAGGTTGGAAATTCAGGACCAATTAGTCTGTCTCTTAAAAATGTGTATCCTAGGGGAATTTGGAATTTATCACGTATTTTCTACTAGGTATTTCTCAAGTGACTCAGTCCTTTTAGTATGAGTTTATCTCACCAATTTATATTAGTGCACAGATAAGTAAACTGAGGCAAAGTACTAGAACATGATTTCCTGAAGGTAGTTAGAACTGGAATAAAGTTAATGACCCCTGATTCCAGACTTCCCTTTCTCATTCTTGATGTTTCTGCCTCCCCAGAGAGAGTGTTAGTCCTGTCGAGATGGGGAAAAGTATTTGCCTCCGGAACTGATAATAAAAGAGAGAAAGACCCTGGGTCGGGGCAAGGGTCAAAGAGAAGAAAGGCACCAGTCCCTCAAGCAGACAGCCAGCCAGTCACCGTGGAAAGGTTGCCTTTGGGTATCATAATGTGGATTGGCCAGGGAGTCTCTCACTCTTCCTTGTACTCTCCCCAGAATTCCTGACCTCTAAGATGACATTTATTTTGAGTGCATCACCATGCTATTTCCCCCCTCCTCCGGCATTTGTCTGTTACCTATTCATGTGAGCTAATGGTTTTCCATTTCCGACTCTAGGTCACTGGGTTGTTCCACAACCCAAGCATTGGCAATGCAATTCACATTGTTGTGGTTCGGCTCATTCTACTTGAAGAAGAAGAGGTAAGGGGTAGTTTTTCTCCACTCCTCTGACCTGTATTCTTACACTCCCTACCTCCTTGACAGGACAGCTCCTGATGGACAAGAAAGGGAGCACCAGGAAGGTGTTTAGAAACCTATTGAGAAGGAAAATGATATTTCTGTATTATTTTCTTGGGAATTTTGTGCTGTCAAGTGGGAGATGGAGAACATTTCTGAGATAGACATCATTGGAATCACCTGGCAGTCATTTAGTCTGGTAACACACAAATCGGATTTACAGCAGTGACTTAGAATGTTCCACGGTGAAAAAGACTAAATCAGAAAATGGTTGCATGGTTTCAGTAAAAGTTAAAAGGGACATGGAAATGTTGAACACTTTATCCTGTTTATTTACCTCTTGCATATTAGTTAATTAATTAATACATACCCCTCAACTCTGGGCTGTCTTGTCTCTCTGTACTTTTGCCCTTGGAAATGTCATCTGTTTGCAGAGACTTACATGTCTTCTACATGCTGAGACGCAGTTTCTTCTTCAAACCCAGACCGCTTCCTTGCACTCCAGACTCATGTCCTGACGCCTCCTTGCCATTTCACCCTGAATGTGTCAGAGCCCACCCAAACGTGCAAACTCAGTAAGTCCACCGTGGCATTCTTGATTTCTCCCAGCCCGGATCATCTCAGTTCTGCCTGCCCCCGTGCTCCAGCCCTCTGTGGTACCCGTCTTGCTAACCATGCAGAAGCCTAGGAGTCATTCTTGAATCCTCCTCCTCTTATCGTCCACATTCAACAGCAAGGCCCACAATGCTACCTTCAAGATCATCTCAAGACCACCCACTGTCCATCATCTCTACAGTCATTATGTTGCCTTAGGCCTTATTGTAATCTTACTGCAGGGAACTCCCAAATGGTCTTCCTGTTTTAAGACTTGCCCTCCATAATCCTTTCTCCATGTAGCAGTTAGACTGGTAATCTTAAATGAAAATTGAGTTGCTCCACTGCACAAAACTGTTAAATAGCTTTCTGTTGTTTTTAGAACAAAATAAAAAATTTTTACCGTGCCCTGCCGAGACCTTCATGATCATGCCTGCATCCCCCTTTCCGGTCTTTCCTTATGTTGCTCTCTGCCTTGTTTCCCACCTCGAACTCCCTGGACTTCAGGTAGGTTCTGGAACACGCATGGCCCTTTTCAGCCTCATGGCTTGTGCAACTTATGGTTGCTGATGCCCGAAATACCCCTTCCGTGGCTCTACTGATGGTTGGCACATTCTCTGGCACCTGTCAGATCTCTGTTTAAATGCTGCCTCTCCAGACAAGTGTCAGTGACCAGCTGACTCGAAGCCAACCCCACTTGCTGTTCTCCGTCACAGAATAAGCTTTACTTCCTTTATTGGTACTTCTCTCACAGCTCATTGCTTTTTCTGTATATTTGTTTACTCTTCTCTTGCCTGTTTACTCTTCTCTTAGCCACCATCACAATGTGAATTCCTTCTTTATTCTTGGCTGTATCCCCAGCACGTAACACAGTGCCTGGGACGTGAATGAATGAAGTAACATTCAGTGAAGGAATGAACCAGCCAACCTGGTGAAATGCCTTTGCAAACTACTCACCTTACCTAGCAGCTGAAATATGTGAAGAATGGCCTCATTCAAGTCTCCCTCTGCAAGACACCTGAGGTCAAAAGGCTCGAGGCAGGATTTACTGTTTTCTGGCCTCCACAATCAGAAGACTTGAAAAACAATCATATCTGGAGCCTGGATCCATTTTCCTTTTTCTCTCCCCTACCATTCCCCACTTAACGAATCACTCAAGGCATACTTTGGGTATCTTGGAATACTGATGGTTGTATTATTTTTCCTTCCTGTGAACCTTTTGTTATGAAAAGTTTTCTAAAACTTAGAAACCAAGCAACACAAAAGCTCTGTATCTTTTCAATGTCTAACATGACCTATCTGACTCTATGGGAATGCAATTTTGCCTGATTTTTAAGTGCTTATTGAGTAGGTCCTAGACACAGTAGAGTTAGGTATTAAGATGCAGAAAACTGACAGGGTACAAATAAATGATTTTTGTCCCGAAGAGGTGAAGATAATTTGTATCTAGCAGAGAGCTCTGAAGGTTGCGGTTTTATTGGTCTGTTGACTAATTTTGTATCTAAATTTAGCGATCTGATTCCGGCATTCTTCTTTATAGTTTCACCAGCTAAAGTGGCATCACTTTCCTGTATCTGCCTTTGAACCAGCTTGGACATCTTGTCTATCTTCTTATCAATGAGTTAAATACATCCCTAACATGCTCACTATATATTTGTATGAAAATTATGTTTTTAGCTCTGTAAAAGTTATACTTTGATACTTTGGAAGACAAATATCCACCATTGTATAATCATCTCTCTTACATGCATGCATAACTGCAAAATGTGTAGAAGTTTAGGGTTTTCAAACAAACAAACAAACAAAAAGCCAAGGAGAAACTTTCCCCTCTGCAGTCCCTATGGTAGTGCTAGTCAGACCTCAAAGTGTGCCTTCCATGGATCAGGCCCCTTAAAACTCCACATCTCTCCATCCCTAGGAAACAATGGCCCTTGGAGACTGTGGAAGTCTCCTGATCAGATGGGGAGGCCACCAAAGGTGGGGTGACTCAATTGGATGGAGGCCAGCAGCGTGGGCGGTGGAAGAATTGACTTGAGACAGAGCAAAAGGGATAGAAGTCTACTGAACCCACTGCCAGGGAGCAGCAGGCAGGACAGCTGGGGAAAGGCTGTCTGCCGGGAGGCAGTGTGGAGGCTGTAGTTAAGGAGGAAGGTGAGGACGAATGGGAACATATGGAGTTTTCCTTTTTTGGTGTCTGGGTGTCAGTTGACCCATTGGTCAGCTAGGGCTTATGGGTATTTTGAGGTGGGTCGCCTAATAGGCCTGTCTGTATTTGGCGGGGAAGGTGTCGCTGTGGGTTCTTCTACCTTACGTATGTTTCTATCGTTCAAGTTGGTTGCCTAAAAGCAACCTCAGCAGAATCCTTTGAAAGAATTTGATTGACACCTACCTCTCTGACTCCATCACAATAATATTGTTTTTCTTCTTCCTGTTCTCATTTTGCAAGAGCAGAGATGCAAATGATTTGCTAAAAAACAAAACCAAACAAAACAAAAAACATGGCTTCCTTCCTTTTACTTGCCAAATATCTTAGACTTTTATAGAATCTCCCTCCATGTGACACAAGGTCCATAATTTGACAATAGAATTGCTGTCTCATCAAAGAGTTACAATTTGCAATTCTCATTTTCTTGATTGCCAGATCATGACTCAAGCTATTCTTCACATCTTTGACTAATGAGCAGCCTTGACCACAATGAGTGACAATGATCCCAGCCTTAACTGACATGAGGGTAGCAGCCAGAGACAGAAAGTACAGTGTGAGGTATTGGGAGGGACTCCTCCTTTGAGCAAGGAGACCTGAGTTCTAGTCTCACTTTGCACTCATCCAGAAGGTAACTCTGAAGAAGTGACATCATTGCTGCACACACTGTTTTTTTTGCCATCTGTAAATCAAAAGAGAGTGCAATTTTTCTATATTAACTGTATATCAAACACTATGTTGGCCTCTGAGGATACAAATATGAATATAAGTCTTATTTCCTGATTCTGAGATGTTTAGAGTCTGATGTGCACAAGCACAAAATAGAAAATTTCAAACTGAGTTGTCCTGAGTATAAAAAAAAGTAAAAGAGCCCCAGGCTAGGGAAGGCTAAGCTGGGTTTTAGAGGATGAGAAGGAATTAACTAGTGAAGAAGGACATTCCAGGTAGAGGAAGCTGCACAGTCAGCTTGAGCATGTAAACTAGCATCTTACACCTGAGGACACATCACTGATAATGAACCCCCAGACGGGAGGCTGAGTAACCTTGCCATGCACAGAGACAGTGGACTCTGCAGGAGGCAGGAGAGAGAATCGGGGGTCCCCATCTGCCCCTCTCCATGCACACCTGGTCTTGTTGCCCTCCTGGTCTCTGTGCTGACATCATCACCCTTCCAGAGGAGGAAGCCAGAGATCCAAAGACATCCAGAGCACCTCCCTCTCCCACCCCTCATATCCAGTCCATCGGTAGGTGTTGCCAATTTTGTCTGACCATCTGCATTTCTGTCGCTTAAATTCAAGATAGAGTCCTCTGTTTCTTGGGCTACAGTTGTGTTTACTTTTTCTACCTGGATGCCTTTCAATCTCGTTTTCTCATCGCAGCCAAATGGTAATCCCATCATACCCTCCCTCCTGGCACCCATTCTCCGACCCCCACCCCTGGTTTAAAGCCATCTCGTGCTTTTCTGATTCCCTCTCTCATCTCTTACCATGCCCCGCTTGCCTTTGGGATAGAGCAGTAGCCTTCTCCTCATGGTGTCTCCTGCCACTGGTCTTGTTGCCCAGACTGTCTTCCTTCTTGTCTTCACTCAGTTGACCCCTTAATCCTTCAGATATTGGCTCAAGGGTCAGTTCACTGGGGAAGCCTTCCCTGACCTTCATGCCCAGCAAGATTCTATCATATGCTTTCACAGTGCTGTGCATTTCTCCTTCATAGCACATATCACAGTTGTAATTTAACATCTGTTTGTTTGATGCACTTCCCTTCATTAGTATCCAAGACTTAAAGACAGAGGCTGGGTCTGGTGTTGCTCCCCACCTAGCCCTATTGGTACATAATAGATAAGGGAAAGAGTGAGCATGTGAAGTCAGCAGTCAGAGGGCGAAGGTGAGGGTTGGCAGTGGCCATGGTCATGACAAGCCTTGTAAAGGGATAGAGTCCAAATAAGGGGATATGGATCTAATTCTAGGGGAGCCTCTGGGTGGTTCCAAACTGAGGGATGAAATGGAGAGAAAGGCACTAGAGAGAGAGTTCTAGGGCTCCGTGGAAAGTGACATGAGGTGGGAATGCTGAGGTAGGCCGCATCCATAATGCCTTTCTACAACCCCCGTCTTTCTTATTCTAATCACATCTGACAGCTGACATCATTTTGGACTTCATTTCCTGTGGT